CTCCAGTCATGTTGGCTCAGGAACTCTGGCATTGAAGTGTGCAAGTCTTAAAGCTGTCAACTTACAAGACCCTTGTACCCCTAACCCTTTAGAAAAAAAGACCCCAGGGGTGTTCAAACTTGACAGCTTTAGGATTTGTGGACTTCAACTCCCAGAATTCCTCCTCTTTCTCTTCATCTTGATGATGTCCGCATGGGCGGGGGGAGGGAGCTGGAACCAATTCTAAACAGCACTGTAGATTTGTGGAACCTCTTCTATAGAAGAGGTTAGAACCCACCCCTGGGAGAGGTAGTCCCATAAATAACCTGGTTCTGGAAGGCTTTATAGAAGCAAACCAGCACTTTGAATTATATCTGGAAGCTTATTGGGAGGCAAATCATGCAGTGTCATGGTATTATAGGAGAATTCCAAGGTATACTCATAACCACTTTTGTTGTGCATTCTGGACCTATTGTAATTTCTGGATTGTCTTTAACCCCATGTAGAATGAATTGCAGTTATCCAGCCAGAAGGTGACTTTATTTATTAAATTTATAAACAGCTTATCTTGTGTTCAGGCAATTTTAGGTGCCTTTCAACAAAGTAAAAGGAACAGCATAAGCATTAAAATATTAAATGTTAAGATAATAAATGTTAACATTAAAATTTGCAAAGATGACAAGGAAGGGGGAAAGATACAAACAGGATGGAAAAAGAGTCTTCTCTCAGTCCATTAACCTCCTCAGTAGGACACTTCAACATCAGGGTCCCCGGTCAATTGGAAGAGCCAGATTTTAAAGGACCCTTTGGAAAACCAAGAAGGTGGGTGCAGCTCTCACCTTAAGGGGCTGAGTGTTCCAGGGAGCACACCATAAAAGGCTCTTCTCCTGGACCCCACCAGCCAGAATTCCTTGATTGACAGGGTTTTCAGTATGTCCTTCTGCCAGCCTAGGGTGGGAGTGGGTGGGTGGAGGCTAGCAGAAGGGCATTCCATTGGGGTGAAATGATTTCTCAGGTACCTTGGACCTATGCCCTAAAGGGCTTTGAAAGTAATAAACTAACATCTTGAATTGAATCTGGAAGCAAACTGACAACTAGAGAAGTTTGTACAACAAAGGTATTACATGGACCACCCTAAAGGTCCTAAGAACTGTCCAGGAGTTGCATTCTGTGCCAGTCGTACCTTCCAAATACTCTTCAAAGGTAGCCTTATGTAGAAAGTGTTTCAGTGTGATGACCTGGGTCTGAGTGACTGTTTGCATGGACTTGTAATCCAGGAAAGGGTGCAACTAGCACACAACATGAAGTTGCCAAAGGCCTAGGTCCATGATAGAGAACCTATGGTATGCATGCCAGAGGTGGCATACAGAGCCCTCTATGTGGACATGCACACCACCCAGCTGGTCTTTGTGTGCCCCAAAGTGCCAGAAACTGGAAGACGAGGTGGCCGGTGCGTACCAGCCACCTGGTCTTTGGGTTTCCTGGGCTCCGGTGCACGTGAAGACTAGCTGGCCAGTACACATGCACGTGCCGGAAACCCTAAGACCAGGTGGCCGGTGCGTGCATGCGCACTGGCCACCTGGTCTTCCGGTTTCTGGTGCTCCAGTGTGAGCAGTTGGACACTCGGTACTGAAAAGTTTTGCCATCATTGGCCTAGGTTATGAATGAGAGTAAACAGGGCTTTCCAATCAGGAACAACTATGATTGTCACTGAGGGCTGTGTGGTAAATTTCTGCCACTTGCAAGGATGGAAAAATCACTTGTCATAATATCAAGGGGGGGCCAAGACCCACTGCTACTCAGCTTTGATGGAACTGAGTTGAAGCCAGTTCTTCTCCTGGAAAGGGAAAGAATAAGTTCTCTCAATAGCATAAAACAGGAAGTGATATTAACTAATGAAGCACAACTAATGGGAACAGAGTAAAAACATAATGAAGAGGAGAGAAGATATAAAAATGGTCACTAGCAATGTTCAATATATCTTTACTCACCAACATATTTTGCCCAGAAACTTAGCTGAAATGAAATAAATTTAAAATTGTAAAAATATTTTCTGTAAGTAGTTATATTGTGTAGTATCAACTTTTTGCAGATTGTTCCTTAATCTAGTAATAATAGAATGAACATTTATTCAGTCATTTATCCATCATATCCACTATCATCTGTCCACCACAATGAAAATATAACAAATGTTTCCAATATTTGGTGAAGCAATGTTGTTTTTATTTTGGCATAAACTCATCTGCCAAAGTAATGGACATTACAAATAGTAAAAGTGGACTTAATTGGATGTGATGGTACTCCCTTGTAAAGCATCCAATTTGGATCAAGTTCTACTAAAATCAACCAAGGCCAAGAGAAGCTGAACAAATAAGAAGTCAAATTGTCTGTTTTGATGACAAATGTTAGGAGTGATAATTTGTTAGTGTACCCTTCAACCCACCAAAGAGTAGTCCCACCAGCTGCTTGGGACACAGAATATCTTGGATCACTTTACTAAATTAGGATGTTTCTTTCTGCTCATTAACTTATTCTGCTCTTTCAACTGATAATGAAACTTCACTCTCAATCTTGCAAAGTAACTTACAGTTTTTTCCATGGTTTCAAATATTTCACTAGCTTCTTCAAAATCACAATGTTCTTCTATACATTCTCTTTCCAAGGAACCTGCCTTTAATTCTTCCAAGAAAGAATTTGCTCGCTTTTGAATCTTCAAGACACGATTGGCTTCTTGGCTGCTGTAAAACACTTGGGAATGGAGAATATGTTAATGATATTTTTATCTTACTAGTTTCAGAAAGATATTTGTGTTGTTATTTTACCGGAAATGAGAAATAATTTTTAAAATGATAAAAAAACATATGCTTTGGAGTAAGACAATAACAATCAGAAATATTGCTTCTAGTGCTATTCTGTAAAATCCAAACTATTGTTAATGAAATGTAAACTCTTATGCTGCAAGATAGATAGATAGATAGATAGATAGATAGATAGATAGATAGATAGATAGATAGATAGATAGATAGATAGATAGATAGATAGATTTAAAATGAGGTAGATTGTGTAATTCTGCATGGACTTGTTTTCACATCAAGGTGATGGTAAAATATGCCCCATATCTCCAGAGTGTAACTAGGAATTATTGGGAAAAGGATTGTATTATGCAGAATTCAAGTGACATTGGGCTCTTTCAATTATGCTTAGAGACTTGTACAGTGGCTGGCAGAATATAATGTTTAACCTGATGTTCAAGGGGATAACATACCTGAGGCTTTATATCCGTTAAGCAATATGAAGGCAGCTGAAAACACCAGAAGAGAAATGATTCTACCCATTGCACAACCGAATCCACACAACTATGAGAACAACACCAAAAAAATAAATAAATGGTGATTCGTTTAATACAAATGCATACTTTATATATTTTCAAGATTATATATTTAAGGAAGCACAGGCTGATACTTGATTCTTACAATAGGGCCTCCAAACTCTCCTGCATTGTTTAATATTGCTCTTAGGTTTTACACCATATTGGCAACTTTCTGTTTATTTAATAGCAATATAGTTTAAGGTGTTTTTAAAAATCCGTTTCAAAATCTAGTCACTGTATGGTTACGTTAAGTGAATCCAAACCCAATCCAAAACCAAAACAAAGCATACACAAGATAACAGAACTAAACTAAATGTATCGTCAGTTGTTTTTTAAGCTTTCCCTGATGACATTCTACATTTCTTATCCTTCTTTGCATTTGATTTAGGTAAAAACAGTTTCGGATTTTAACTGAAATATATGAACAACAGAAAAGACTTACTGACCTCCCTGGCTGAATCACAGTAGTCTATTCTTCCACCATTGGATGCAGAGGATACTAGTTAATCCATAACCTCAAATATTTACTCAGGAGATACACTCTGACAGCCTTTCTTTCAGTTAAAGAAAAATGGCTCCTATGGGATTCTACATGTAGAAAACCAGGAATGGTTTGCTTTTTAACATGTGCTTCCCCCCCCCACCCTAATTTTATTCTCTATTTATTGTCTAGGTAAGCAATGGCTAATTAATTTTTTTCCTATACATTAAACTCTACTTCAGCTTTTCTATAAATTCAGCTCTACTTCAGGTTTATTGCTTTAACAAAATGACCTAATTATTGGATATTTGAGAAGTGAATCATGAAATTTTCCACGTGATAGTATGAGATATCACTGTCTTTCATTTCTTGCCATCACTTGTGTCATTGCTTTTTTAAGCCTGTCCCCCTTCAACGGATATGCTACGAAAAGAAACAGGACAGTATACAAGGTCTTTTGACTAACACCTTCTAATTTTATACTTGGGACCCTTTAAAATTCTTAAGATTGCCTACCAACAATTTCAAGTTAAGGTGACCGCAAGAGAGCACCAGAGAGCTATAGTTGTTTACTCCTCACACTGATTATCTGAATTTATAGTGACATTCTGCCAGGAAGCAGTCATCTTAAGCTAACATATCCCCCCCCCCAAATACCTACAACTCCTAGAATTCTACCACCTTTCTCTGCAAGAGGTTAATTCAAAGATGTTATCTCTTGCCTCCACTTACTTTTTACTTTAATTAGTATTACCACTTTTCTTATGTTTGTGACTTTAAGGCTTCAGGTTAATTACTTGTCCTTTAGAGTTTAGTCCATCCTCCCTGTGGTGCTAGAATGAAACATCTGCTCCATGTCTTCAAGGTGCTACTTAATTTGATTAAAAAGGTACATTTATCATCTATGTCATGTCAAAGTCATTTAATCCTATGGGCAACTCATTGACCAATTTTGGAAGGTTGCAAAAGCATCCCACAGACCAAACTAGAGCAAATTAAATTCAATGCATGCTACGTAATGAAGGCCGATTCTTTTCTACCACTGTCAGCAACTCTTTGGTCACATCCAGTATGAAAATATACCAAGCTACACTATTTATTCCAACAAGTTATCAATGCAAGACAGTGAAGCTATCAAGCTTTCTTACCCTATCCACCTTTCAAGGCTTGAGTAAACTATGAGATGGCCATATCATTCCTGCAGCTCTTCAAGTTTTTGGGGGGCTTTTTGTTGCCATGGGGTTATTGAGTAATGAGTAGTATGGGGGTGGGGGGATAAAAAGGATGTAGAAAAGACTGTTCAAAATCAACAAATGCTAAGGCTGTAGGTATATATAGTTACCAAAGAAATGGTAAAATGGTTTGTTTATCTGAGTACAATTTCTTTAATATGGAGACTGTTTTATGGGGCTGGCTGGGGAATCCTGGAAATTGAAGTCTACAAGTTAAAGTTGCTGAGGTTGAGAAAAAACTGATCCAGAAAGCAAGAGTTTGTGAAAGGCTACTTACCAAACTGTATTCCCCATAACAATTCACTGCTTTCAAGTACTTTGCCATATCTGATCCTTATTTCTGTTATTAAAATTCAAATTTATTATTGTTAAAGGCTTTCATAAGTGGTTCCATGGTATTCTGTCTCTCCCTGGAATTAACCAATAAATTCAGAAAACTCTAGCCTTATCTTGAATGACAGCACATCCAGCCAGTCAGATTTGGTACTTAGTGTTGTGACATAATGTCTGCGACTAAAAAGCTGATTATTTTCATCTGATTTCCATGTATTTTGGTGTGCTGAAAACAAATAAAATATTGAAAAAACTCCTAGATGTCATGATTTGCCACAACATGCAAAAATTTATCTTTTTTTTTTAATTTTGGCATTTTTTTATATAATGGGTTAACCAAATTTAAAGTCCAAATTACTATTAATTAATTCACATAAGTGCATTTAAGATATAAAATGCCAAAAAAACCTTAAAGGGTTTGTCTGAGTTATGTAAAAAAAAAAAAAAAGCACTGTAAATCTGATGGTCAGCAATATATACATAAGCTAAGCAAGTTTTAAGTCTGCGCTTCTAATGATAGAAGGGATTAACCTTCCCTGAAGAATCCAGTGTGAGCGAGACACAGGGCAGATAGCAGCATCTCCGGTCAGTGCAGGGGGTGTGGCCAGCACTGTGACATCTCATGTACAGAAACAGAGCTGCTCTCTCCTGCATGCCACACTTGTGTATGAATCATCATCAGGTTCTTGGTTCTAGGCTGTTCACACTTTTTCATCGCAATTCATGTTAGCTCGTCATTCTTCAACCGTTACGTTATGGCTCCGCAAAAGTGCATTAATTCGCCAGTTTCTGTTTCATCTGTGGTGAATACACAGTGTCAAAGCAACAGCAGAATATTACAGACTTTGTGAAAAAAATATACTTTGCATACTTAGGACTAAAAATTGGAGATCAAGATAAAGTTTGGATGCCTCATAAAGTATGCAAACGGTGTGTTGAGGACCTCCGAAACTGGTTCAAGGGTAAGAAAAAAATCTTTCTGTTATGGGATTCCTATGGTATGGAGAGAGCAAAAGAACCATAGTGATGACTGTTACTTTTGTTGATGCAATGTGAAAGGGTTTAATTCCAAATGGAAGCATTCAATTTCATACCCCAATCTTCACTCAGCAATTTGTCCCATCCCCCATGGCACAGATATACCAATACCCAAGCCCCCTGCTACCTTGGAAGAAATACCTAGCTCTGATGAAGGTGAAGTTATACCTGAACCAGATGATGAATCAAGTTCTGATTTTGAAGATGATACAAGACCAAAATTGTTTTCTCAGGAGGAAATGAATGATTTGAGAAGAGACTTGAATCTTCCCAAAGATGCAGCTGAGTTACTTGGATCAACGCTGAAAAACAGGAATTTATTGTTGCCAGGAGTGTCATCTTCATGGTTTAGACATTGTGAAAAGGAGTTCATTTCTTACTTGCCCAGGAAGACAAGTTGGTTTATTGCATCGATGTCGGAGGTCTGATGGGTCAATTTAAAATCCAATATGATTCAGAGCAATGGTGTCTTTTTATAGATTCTTCAAAAAGAAGTCTCAAAGCAGTTTTACTCCTACGAGAACTTGGAATTGGTTCTTCATAAACTTAAATATGAAGACCATGGTTGGCAAGTGTGTGGAGACTTTAAGGTCTTGTGCATGTCGCTCGGGCAACAAGCTGGTTATACCAAATACCCTTTTTTCTGTATCTATGGGACAGTCGAGACCGACAAAATCCTGAACCAAGAAGAGTTGGCAGCCGAGGGTGCTAACAGTCGGTGAAAAAAATGTCCTCCGAGAAACTTTGGTACCTTCCCATAAAGTTCTTCTACCACCTCTCCACATAAAATTGGGATTGATGAAGCAATTCGTAAAATCACTTCCAAGAGATGGAGAAAGCTTCAAATACTTGGTCACCAAGTTTCCATGCCTGTCGGAGGCAAAATTGAAGGAAGGTGTGTTCGTTGGACCAGACATTAGAGTTGATCAAGAGTTTGTCAATATCATGACAGATTCTCAAAAAGAAGGGTGGATTGCATTTAAATAAGTTGCACAGAAATTTTTAGGCAATAAAAAAGATCCTCACTACAAAAATATCGTCGGAAGAATGCTGAAAGCATTTCAAGCTTTAGGTTGCCTGATGAGTTTGAAAGTGCATTTCCTCCAGTCCCACCTTGACTACTTTCCTGAAAATTTGGGAGCTGTGAGGAACAAGGTGAATGATTTCACCAAGACATTAAAGAGATGGAAAGGAGATACCAGGGAAAATGGAGCATTACAATGATGGCAGACTACTGTTAGATGCTTCAGAGAGACATTCCAGATGCTACTCACAACCGTAAATGCACCAAGAGGAGCCTCACAAGGAAGAATTGAATTTAATGTGTGTAGGTGAGCTCATTTCAGTTCAAAAAAAGATTTTCATGAAAATATTGTAATAAAACTTTAATTTTATAAGTCTATTTCCATTTATTTTGAGGTATTGCCTTGTTTAACATAGTTACCTAAATTGTCAGGAAACGTGATTTCCTATGACAAAATGGAGGTCATTTTCAGATTCAGCACACCAAAAAACATAAAGATTACGTGGAATAACCAAAACAGCTCTCAAAAAAATTTTTTTTTGCAGACCTGTGATCTATTACAATGATGCAATTATTTTAAATAAAAATTCTACTCTGGGGTCATGTAAAGGTAGAAACAATGGATCTGTAGTTCTGAAAAGCAAATGGCAGCCAGAAGGATGGGGAAATTTTGAGACTTGAGAAAGAATTTTAGTAATTACAAAATTAAAGTTGCAAGTGTCTTTGTCTTCTGTAATAATACAGTGGCATTGGATGTACCATTGGAAGAGTTTAAGGACCAGGTAAGATACAAAACATCATGTATAAAATCCATTAATGGCTTGACTACTTCTTATGTGCTACCAAGTCAAAACCTTTAGTAACAAAATATTTCTGTGAATACAACTCTTATTGTAAATTCTGAGGCAAAAAGGCATTTGATGATTCTTCTTCAATAGCTCATTTAGTTAGATTTTGTTCTACACATCCTTAAAATTATTTGAATTATTTATTATTTTATAACAAGAGGCCAAGTAGAGTATATTAGCCTACCTTTATTCAGCATAAGCTAGAAGTAAATGAAGGTGCAGATAACAGATTTTGCATAAAACTACTCTAGCAATCGGTTAGGACAGGAATCCAGTAGACTACACATGTAAACAATGCTACAAATTCCCTGAATGCATATATAATCTATTATAGGAATTCCTACCTGCCAGTATAATAATAGCCTTGAAATTGAAACAGAGTAAAGCCTGCAACATCAGAAACTTTTCACTGCTTATGAGATGAACATAATAACCACCACCACCCTTTGTTTTAAACAAGAAATAAGGAGAATATTCTGGAATCAGTTAAACAACTCCTAATAATCACAATAAGCTCAGTACTTTGGCCTATTTCCTCTTTCCAACTATATTATGAAACCAAAAATGTAATTGTGCTAGTTAAAATGATGCAGTGGTAGATATCTTGTAACATTCAGACAACCAAGTTTGATTATGTGACTACTTTCTCACCATGAGCTAGGAAATGGCATCATTGTTTGCAAGAATAGGAACTTGTTTATTAACTTACTTCCCACAATAGACCATATGGCTTGGTTTTGGCTGAAATTGCATGAATCCAATATACTAAGAGAGTTTGTTAAGCTATGGTTTAGCATGCTAATAGCACCTATAAACTCTGCATTATTTTTAGATTTTATACCATACTACCAAAATGAATAAATTGCATTATGTATGATTCAGTCCATAACAGAAAAGAAAAGAACAATTATAAAAAATCATCAGTACCCAGAGTAGGTGAATGTGAATCTCCATGCAATTAAGTATTTTAGAGCTACACCTCACAAGTCTTGATGTTATCAATAATGTATCTTATTTGTTTTTAACCACAAGAGTAGAGAAAAACATATTTTATTTATCAGACACTTGGAGTTTGAGACTTAGAAAAATAACCGGTGATATTCTCATATACTGTATTATAAGGATTAAAGTTAGAAATGCAGGTCCAGCTTCTTCTTTTTTTCCCCCTTCTCAGGTTTTAGAATGGAGATCATTCAGTAAGGCACCTTTTGTGTCTCTAAACAAATTATGGTTGCTAGGGTTGCTAGAGGCTGTAATCCAAAATCCAAAATGTGATATTAAAGTGCCCAGTTCAGGATGTTTCAAAATATTTTTTCCTTCTTCTAATTTAAGATGTCTAAAAGAGAAAAGTAAAAAACCAATATTCTCCATAGGGAAAAAGTATTGAGAATTGCCTAAGAAAATATATGAAAAGCTGCAATTGCAATTGTCAGACACAGAAAATCATGTCAGTCATCTGAATTAAAATCCACATTTTTAACAGTGAAATTCACGACAATCTGGCTATAAACAACAATGAGCAAGAAAATTGGCTATATATATATTTTCTCCTAATAAACCATCCATTGCATGTGGTTACAGTTAGGCATCTTTATTGTTCTTCTTAAAACCAAGCTTACATTTTTCTATTTGTTTTACTTTGTTGTTGTATTTTTAAAATACTTTGTGTACTTCATCTCAATAATAAAGCAAATTATAAAATTACATTTACCAACTTTAAGCTAATCTACTTTGTGTGGTATTTTATGGATAAATATTCCTTGAATTTCTTAGATGAAAAATTGATACACTTCTAATGAAATGCTTCCAAGTTCTTTACAGAGAATCACAATGCATATCATAAAGTACAAAGTATTAAGGACTACAACTATGGTTTCAGGCAGCCTCTCTCCCTTTCTCTCCCTCCCCCCATTCTCTCCACCTCTGCCCATAAATTGGTGGGCATTACAGATGCTATTCAGTCTAGTTATGCTTCAAGATCCTTCTATAATTTTAAGGTCAGTTTTACTTAATACATTTGCATTTCTCTCACTACTGACAAGCCATATTAAATACTGTTTCTCTAATTACTACAGCAACAAATCAATTATTTACAGCAAGATCAGAAAGAGATTGTCTTTATATACAAGAACATTATATTTACAACAATCAACTGCAAAATATGTACAAACAAGAGATGCTTTCACGGTAATGACAGTATAAATTAAATAATAAATAGCATGTTATATTCTTAAGGCACAATACCTTCTTTCCCAAACTGTACAGGAATTAAATGTTTCCCTATGCTTTTGTCTGATCACTGCAATAGTTATATTTCCCCTGTAGAACAGTTATCACGGTTAACAATACACACATCAAATGACTTATAAAAACAACTCTTTTTTTTACATCACAAATATCTGTTAAGATACGAGTTTTGTGTAAACAGTCTTTAATTTACCATTCATACTATATTCACTTTTAAATAATACTCAAATCATTTCAAAATAATACAGGTGTTAGAGGTTTTCAAGGGACAGCCAGCATGTGTGCCTTTTCAGTTCCTATTGGAGAAGTAAAATTAGTGGAATTTTACTTGGTGAGAAACCATTGCCAAAAATGTGAATAATTTCATTCAATTTAAACATAATAATAATTTGGCGGGAATCCTATGCATATACTGAGAATTTCTTAAATAACCAAGCATGGAAGTGTATTTCACTTTCATGTAGTTGTCAAATAACTGCAATGAATTCAAAAGTGATCTTTCAGGAGCAAAAAATATAACCAGATTAAAACAAACACAAATAGATTTTATCCAGTTAATTGTCCCTGTCAATGGAATCCCTTTGATAAGCATAAATAGGGATAGGGACAATTCTTTCATCTGCAGTCTGTGCTATGTCCTTAAAACCTCACTGTTAAACAATATGGTTTCCCGGAACAACTTTTGGTGAGTACAGGAGTTTGGTTGCAAACTATATTCTGCAGAAAGGACCATTTATTTAGATCTTTACTTAAAAACCTTTTAAAAAACCACCTGGGTCACCCAGAAAAAATGGCATTATTCTTGCAGAGCAGAACCTGCATATCATTATCAAGATTGTAATTTTTATATCAAAAGCCATTTCAAAGAGAACAGACTATATAGAACAGATTACGTGTTGTAGAGGTAATGTTTGTTATTCCTGTCCTACTCTTTTTTCTGTACTGGTTTTGTAGTTTTTTGATATGGTTAGATGACTAATCAATAAAGTTTGTTGATTGTGGTAAGTCCAGGAGATTTTATTTACAATTGAAATGTTAATGTTTTTTTTCAAATTCACAGTATGTTATTAAAATACAGTTACTTCCGACATTGGCACTTTCTAGGGTAAATACTTTTTCTTATATTCTACCAAGTTCTCTGAAATTTAATGGACCAATTCAAATGTTATGGCTCACAATTTAATGAAGTGCCAAGAAACATTAGCTTGAGCAATCCAACTGTGTATTTTTGCCCTCAAAACAGAACACCTTATACTTTTTTATAAAATAAAAAATACAATAAAATAGAAACTTTACATTGCCAAATTGAAAGCTCTGGTATATCATGGCACTTTTTAATACTTCCTTCCTTAAGGAAAAAAACTCAGCTTCAAATAAACAATACTAGATACTCCAAATACCATGTAAGGCAGATAAATAACACATAGTGTCAATCTGATGCAGCTATACTGTTCATGAAATTTGGGATTCAGGACTTCCATTATGTAGAAAGGGATTTAACTATATAGGTCAACAAAAAAGAGGCCAAGATAGAAAATTATCCTTACTTATTAATATCTTGGGATGCGATGGTGTTAATACAAGTTTAAAAGCTAATTTATTATGAAAACTCAAATTATGACAGAACTCTGCAAATGCAGATATTGAAAGAGTGATGACTCTCAAATTCAGCATAGATTAAAAAGGGGGGAAATGCCAGGTTATGTCAAAAGAGAAAGGTAGACTATTCAGGATAAGAACAATTTAGTCAAACATTCCTAATTTCACATGATTTTTAAAAGAAACACATAGCAAGCACTATAATTCTTCTATGGTTAAAGTTTAGAAATTCATCCCTTTTTACTGCATTTTTTCCTAAAATTATATATTGATTTTACTCCCTGAGGTGTTCAATGGGAAATGGAAGAAATTGCCATATGTTTATCATCAACAATAAAGTGCTGTTTTCTACTTGACTGTGACATATTTTCATTATAATCATAGCAATTTTTTTTTAAATACTGGAGAATTAACTTTCTGATGTATATGCATTGAACAACAGTACTGTTAAGGATCAGCATATTCTGCTAACTTGGAGCATTTCTGGGTCCTTCCCACGTTTCTCCAGGGACTGATGTTTTAAACAACAATATTAGTATCCATGAATATTAGACAGCAGAACCAGAAAAGAACAAGGCAGATTTAGACAAGTGGTTATATGCATTTCTGGCACCGAAAAAAGACTGTCAGGAAAATGCATGATAAAAGAGTCTCTTCCTAATTTAAGTCCTATGGCAGTTATTACAAAGGTTATGTATTAACTGTATAATCGGTGAATTAATTTTTAAAAATTTCCTAAATAGTAGATTTACAAATGCCCTTTTTTCATTTTTGACATCTAATTTTATAGTTGTGCATGCTTGAAAAACAGGTGTTTTCATTACTCTTAATGCCTGTCACAATTCTTAAATCATGGTGTCTTTAGCATTGACTTTGGTGACTTAACTCTCCCTCAAAAGTTGTGGATCCATAGGCTGGTTTACCAATCTTGACTGACAGAAATCAGTGAGGATGCTCAGCATCAAGAGTATTCAAGTTTGAATAAAGGACACTGAGACTGAGGAAGTCAAGTAACACCTAGTCTAGCAAAGTGTGACTTGTAGAGTAGATTGCACTCTATGCCACATCAGAACAGTAGCACCATAAAAAGCTGGATGTGAGCTCTGAACACTGATACTATTTGGCTGTTCCACAGGGACAACCTCCTGAGCATATGTGCCCTGTCAGCTTTCAATTGTGCAGAGATCAGGAGGAATGGTAGAAGCAGGCTCCAAAAACAGTGTTTAAGCCTCGGTGACAGGAATATTCTTGCTCAGCTCCTTGATCCCATGTAATATTCTCTTCATGTGACCCACTTTGGTTACTCCTAGATCCTGAAAAAAATGATAAGGATAAATTTAGTTCATGAAAAACTAGTCAACTGTAGAATACGTATTAGTTGAATCATCCCCATAATGAGAAAAAAGCAGAAGCATCTCAGAAATCAGTGCTTGAGAAAACAAGATATATTACAGAATATACTTTAAGTAGACATTATTCAGAGGCACAAATTTATCAACTGCACAGGAACAAAACTAGGAATGCAAAAAGCTTAATTCAAACAGCAATCAAGCTACACACACAAACACATTATTTCATAAAATGAATCAGGAAAACATGTAATTCAATGCAAATAAAAGCCACAGTTTTTATTATTACCCATATCCTCCCCAGATACTTCTATGTTCATAGGAATCGTATCTTCCCAATGCTAAATAAATCTTAGCATATTATGTTTACTTAGTGTGAAAACCTATACAGATAGTCAAAGTCAAAATAGAACTATACAGACTCAGTAAGGTATTTAATGCTAATCCAGGTATACATAACCTCATAAATTGCAAAATATATTTCCAATCATCATTTATAATGAGTTTATTAAGGCAGAGCTTCTTTGAATGATTTGAACTGCCTCTTCCTAGATTTCTTGTCACCTGAGTTGAATTGCTATTCCTAAGATAACCTGCCAATAGGTTTATTTTCTATCTCTTGATGGTTTATGTCTAGTCCCTTCTGTTATTTTCCCTTTCTCCCTTTTTCCCTCTCATACTTGGATCTAGTTTTGATTTCCTGCTAGATTTGTAGCTTTGCTGTTACCGTTTGATGGTAATAAGAAGCAGAAATCTACAAGAGAATTTTATGATGATATTCATTGTCCACAAAAATGTGGATTCATTCGGAACAGGTGTGATAGTCATATTAACAGTTGTACTTCCCTGAATCCTATTATTAGTGGAGTTGAATTCTGCATAGAAACAAAATTCATTTGTCTTGCACTAACCTAAAACTATATTATGTATCCTAGAATAGGATACATTTCCTCATAGCAATAATTAAAATATGGCTACTACTTAATAACAATATATACCGTATATTTTGGAATATAAGACGTACCCTTTTGCCTCAAAAAAGAGGCTGAAAATCTAGGTGCGTCTTATACATCGAATACAGCATTTTTTGCCTCCTGAAGCCCCACCCCCTTCACCAAAATGGCTGTGCACACCCATATGGAGGCTATCAGAGAGCTCCTGGGGGCTGAGGAGGTAAGAAATAAGCAAAAAATGGGTTGTTTTTGCCCCCCACCCCCGGTGCCCAGCAGCACTCTATAAGCCTCTGTAAGGCTATGCATGCATTTTTTTTGACAAAAAAGGGCCCGTTTTCACAAAAATGGGGCATTTTTTGCTCATTTTTGGCCTCCCCCACCAAGGAGCACTCTGCACCCCTCCCCAGGCTATTCGTGCCTTTTTTTTAAAAAAACGGGCCATTTTCGGGAGGTTTGCAGAGTGCAAAAACTTTTTTTTCTTTTTGGAAAGCTCTTTAACTGATTGATGAGAATTACATTGATCAAGTGCTCTGCCAGTAGAAACAAAGTCTTGGGTGCTGCAGATTGTCAGAGATTTCCTTCTCCAGCACATGGATAAATATACCTGGAAACATCTAGAGCCGAGGTGGCGCAGTGGTTAGGGTGCAGTACTGCAGGCCACTTCAGCTGACTGTTATCTGCAGTTCAGCGGTTCAAATTTCACCGGCTCAAGGTTTACTCAGCCTTCCATCCTTCCGAGGTGGGTGAAATGAGGACCCAGACTGTGGGGGCAATATATTGACTCTGTAAACCGCTTAGAGAGGGCTGAAAGCCCTATGAAGCGGTATATAAGTCTAACTGCTATTGCTATCTACCTACCTATCTACTTTCTGTCTCTTTCTCTCCCTACCTATCTACTGTATTTCTATCTCTCTCTATTTCTCTCTTCCTTTATCTGTCTACCTAGCTATGTAACTACTCTCTCTTCCTACCTACCTACTGTATTTCTCTCTCTTTCTCTCCGACTCTACCTACCTACTTTTTTAAAAAAAAAAATCATCTTCAAAACCTTGCCGCGTCTTATACTCCGGTGCATCTTATACTCCAAAAAATATGGTACTTTATCAAGCAATTGTACAGGAATAGTATATTTCAAGCAATGGCAGTTGATTCTAGGAGATGCAATAGTGCTGAATTTCAGGTATACTCTATAACCTAAGGTTTGGTGTGTATATTTTACCAAAAACCTCTTCTTTTATATCCTAAAAACAAATATATTACTCTGTCTAAAACCACCTATGCAGACCAGCTCCAAGGACAGTCAGCAGTGGATGCCATGTAAATGCAAATGGCTATTTTGATGAATTCTTTATGAAAGTACCTTGAGATCTCTCCGTTCCAGATGCAGGAGCTCAGAGCCCCGGACGTCATGCCGGATGAATATATCTTTATACTCACAAAGACTGAGATGTTCAAGCCAGGCTGCAACCTCCTCTGTTCCCCAGAGGTGAACTGTCAGAGATGGAAAAGCAGCGACATTGAGTACCCCAAAGCCCAGAGGAAAGATAAGTGAAAAAGGTGATCAGCAGCAAAGACCAAAGAAGCACGAAAGTGAAAGGCAAAACAGTACTAACATATCTTAGAAAGAATAGTTCACTGATTCCAAAATAAGGAAAAGCTAAAAAGTTGAAGACACTGTCTTAAATGGAGGCCAGATAATTTCTGAGATCAAGGAAGTAACTTGCCAATAGCTTGCACTTCCAATTCAGGGCCACATGCTTTTGCTCTACATGGGGCAGCCCTTGAAGAGCATTCGGAGACTTCAACTTGTCCAGAATGCAGCCGCGCGAGCGATTGTGGGTGTACCTCGATACACCCACGTTACACCTATCCTCCGCGAGCTGCACTGGCTTCCAATCGGTCTCCGGATACGCTTCAAGGTGCTAGTTATCACTTATAAAGCCCTTCATGGTATTGGACCTGGGTACTTGAGAGACCGCCTGCTGCCAATTACCTCCCAAAGACCCATTAGATCGCACAGGGTTGGCCTCCTCCGGGTTCCGTCTACCAGCCAATGCCATCTGGCTACGACCCGGGGGAGGGCCTTCTCTGTTGCAGCTCCGGCCCTTTGGAACGAACTCCCCGTGGAGATTCGGACCCTCACCTCTCTCCTGGCCTTCCGAAAAGCCGTTAAAACCTGGCTGTGTCGGCAGGCCTGGGATTGATGAGCTCCCTTCCCCTCTCGACAGGTGTGGTTGTCTTGTATTTGTGTGTTCCCTTTCCCGCTTGAGTTGTTCGCCGCCCTGAGTCCCTTTTGGGAATAGGGCGGCATATAAATAAAACAAACCTCAACCTCAACCTACTCAAAAGCAAATACTAAGAAGTTTGGATGTTTGTAATACTAAGAAGTATCTACTTATATTAATAAAGTTTATTCAGGAAAAATATGATGCAAAATGTAAGGGATTTGTTTATCCAAGTTTACTTCTGTCATCAAAATAGATCAACATTGACAGAATGTAAAATTCCACCTTTTAAAATGTGTGTCCTAAATTTTTAGCCCAAACATATTTAGTTAATTCTGACACAATGAACTTCCTTTGTTGTATGAAAAGTCTACAATCCTATGTTCCAGATCTTGTTATCCACATACTGTCTGGAGATGGCTTTTTCCATATAGTACCTTTTGGTAATCAATTCTTAAAGAATTTAATCTCTGAGACTCATCCTTAGATAGCCTCTGACAGAGAAAACCCATGTTCAGATAGATGCATTATAATAAAAATGTGTCTGAAATTGGATTAAAGAAGAAATTATTAAGATTCCTACATTTCATTTAGATTTGTTATTAACCAACATTAACCTGTTATTATTAATTGACAGGCTAATTAACCAATTAGCTTGCAAAACCTTGGTAAAAGGCTTAGTTATAACACATCATAAATATTAATAAAGGTTTCAATCCAATCAGTAAATTTTCTTTAATATACAATAATGGCTCATGAATAGAGGAAACTTAAGAATTAATGGTCTTTATAGTTCCTTATATCAAAGAAACAGATATTGTGAATGTCTTATTGCATGCATCTGAACCAAGAAATCCCTTGCATCTGCCTAGAAAATCAACATATCTATGTGGGCACTATTTTTGTGGTTTAGGGAGAAAAAATGCGTGGACAAAAACAGCCAGCTATCCAGCCTTTCTACTAGCTTTTAAATAAGCAATAGAATAACAGAATCTAAAAAGCTAAAGGCAAAAGAGAGAACACTGAAATGTCAGAAAACCAGTAGGAAGATAAATAACATCATTAGCTCCATAGAATGCTGAAAGATATAAGCCAACAAATCAACTAAGATAATTGGGAAAAGATTACCCTGATTCCATTTTAACTTTGATTTGAAAAGGTGTTTTTTTTTTAATGTCATACTAAAAATGAAAATTAAAGCTCAGGATGCATAAATGAAGATGCAGAATCCCGGGACAATGAGATATAAGATGTAATTAAAGCTTGGTAGAGAATCAATGAGAGAAAATCAATAACCAAATCTGGAAACATTAGCATGGGGGATATGGAGTTATGCAGGCTTGGGTTCAACAATCACTTCAGTTTTTAAAATTTCCAAATTTCCAATAAACCTCTTTGACCATCCAAAAATGTCCAGTATTTCAAAGTCCTAAATTCTATTTGCAGTGTGTTCTTAGTTTCTATACTTTATTCAGTCTAGTAGTATGATACAAATACAAATACAGTAATCTGCTCCAGAAAAGTAAAACACATGTTTAATATAAAAGAAAAGAAGACCTATAGCAGAAAAGTATGGAATATATAAGGAATCAGAAGAGAGGCATTGTTTCTTGTGGAAAGCACATCAAAATGCATGGGCACATTTGGATATATAGGGATGTAAAGAAAGGCAAAGAGGAATGCAAAAACAGATGGTACCCGGCAATCCCAAGCTACTGCTTGTCTCCTTATTCTTGTTGTTTTTATCCTTTTTAAATTTCACCAGACGAAATTTGCCGCTTCGGCTGCGTTTAGAATAATCCAGCATTTGGTTCTACAGAAAAGAGAAACCACAATATTTTTGTAGACTTTCAATTTATATAGGACCCCCCCCCCAAATGTTCATTCATTTTATCAGACTCTTCTGATAAAATGCAACACTATAATTATTTAATTAATGTTTTTATTATATTAATGGGATGTTTGACCGAGGAAAGTAAGTCTACCTATTTATCTACCTTTCTCTTTCTCATTCATTCATAAAATTTATTGGCTGCCCATCTTGCCATAAGGTAACTCTGGACAGCTTACAGTCATAAAATATATCTACATAAATAAAATTAAACTACAGATTAAGGACACGTGGGGAGGGTGGGAGTGGAATGGGGGGAGATGGAATCTGTTGTTAATCAACTGCTTCCATTGTGTTGTTCCCCACTTGGGGCCCTAAAACACCCTGAGCATAACCATAGATACTCCCTCTAACAAGTTACCTCTTCATCACTGGGCTCCATGAGTTGCCACAGCCATGGAATATCTGCTAGTTTCCTTATGTGAAAGTCCATATCTGTCAATGCAGCTTGGAGCTGTTCTTTCTGGGGAGGATCCAACTGCTACATCAGAAATGAAAATGTGAGGACACAGTTAAGACCTATAATCTGAACCGAGACCTGTCTAACCTGTAACAGAACTACCATAAAGTACATTAATATCATGATTTTTTCTGTTTTGTTGCTTAAATATTCTTCTCTAAATGTTCAAACATGGCATAGAAACAATATGGCAAAAAATACCAAAGGTTAAGAAAAGCTGGCCTTATGCCACCAAGGTGGCGCAGTGATTAAATGCAGCACTGCAGGCTACTTCAGCTGACTGCAGTTCAGCAGTTCGGCTGTTCAAATCTCACTGGCTCAGGGTTGATTCAGCCTTCCACCCTTCCGAGGTGGGTAAAATGAAGGCCAAGATTGTTGGGGACA